AAAATAAACAAAAAAAGAGATAGAAAAAAAAAAAAAAAAAAAAAAAAAAAAAAAAAAAAAAAAAAAAAAGAAGGAAAAATAGAAGCTGGCTTACATGCTCCAGTTTGTCTTTCCTCCTCAGCCAGACACTGGCACTGTAGTCCTGCTGCTTGACAGTGCTGTAGAAGTTTGCACCTACTCTGGTGAGGCTTGGGGAAGGCTCCCTGGGTCTGCTCTTCAGCCTCATCTGCTCGAAGCCCTCATGGGGGGATGAGGAGAGCCAGTCATGCCTGACTTCCATCTTGACATGACAAGGCAAAGTCCAATTAAAAAAAAAAATCAGAAGAAATTAAGAGACACCAGACAAAGAGGGTCCAGAAAAGAACAGGATGGGGGAAGAAGAAAGAGAAGCAAAGTAAAAACAACCCAACAAACAGAAAATGGGAAAAGAAGAGGGACAAAAGGAGAAATAAGGTAGGAGGAGTATAGGGAGAAGAAAAGGCTGCAGGTACGAGAGGTACTGAGAGAGATGAAAGCGCACTCGAGGAAGAAGAGGCTCCAAGATGCCGCTGCTCGCTGCCCCCGCCGCCAGCGAGCTGCAGTCCGGGACCGGCGCAGCGGGAAGCAGCTGCGGGCGGCTCTGCCGGACGGAGGCGCGGGGAGGCGGTGGCAGGGGAGGCGGTGGAAAGGGAGGCGGTGGAAAGGGAGGGAGGGGGACGCGTCGCGGCTCCGCGCAGAGGGAGCCCGGGCGGGGCCGCTGCCTCCGGCCCGCCTGCAGGTTGGCGCAGTGGAGGGGCCGCCGCCCGCCCGGGGATGAAGCCGGCTCCTCCTCCTCCCCCGCCTTCCCTGCTCGGCAGCCACCTCCGGAGAAGCAGAAAGCCGCACGGTAGCGCCCAGCCGTCGCCGCTAGGAAAGCAGCTACTGCCGCCGCTGCCTCCCTCCCCGCCTCCTGGGGAGCAGAAGGCTCCCCGCTCCCGGGGGGAAGTTCCCGCGTAGCCCCATCCCGGCGGACACCGACCCGGTCGCCACTCCCTCTCCTGGCAGCCTTTGTCCGAGCTCCCCGCCCCGGCTCCCGCGGCGCCGCCTCCCGCCCGGCGCTGGGCGCTGCGCTCCCCGGCCCGCGGGGCGCGCGGCCGTGGGGCACCTCTCTGCGTCGCCTCCCTTTCTGGGCAGAAGCATAACCTGACCCAGCTCCGGTCCCTCCCCCGGGGCAGCCAGGAGGGCACCTGGTCTGACGGCAGGTGCACCGGAGCCGGGCAGGGAGTGGCCCGGAGCCCCGGGCCGGGTCCCGGTCCCACCTGGAAACCCTCAGCCCATCAGCCCTCGCCAAACCTCAGAAGCCGCATCGCTTCTGTGGTCCCAGCTGGGCCATATCGCTGGAGAACCCACACCAGTAGATACCGAACACGCTGGTATTTGTCTCATAAATAACAGATGTTTCGGGGTGGTTTCTGTGGCCCACTGACACCTCTTTTAGTAGAAGTTGTATGTGTTGCTGTTTAGCTCAAACTTGTTTCAGGAGAAGGACTTTCCTTTTCCACGCTGTGAAAAGCCACCTCGCTCATTGCCCACACACCCGGCAAAGCTATGTTAGGCAGACAGGGGAAGATTCCTCACACAGCACCAAGAAATATTTACTGGAGCTCAGAACAGCATTTCAGTTTCTGGTCAATATTTGCTGGCAGAGAATTTGTAGTTTACCAGAGAACTAAACCAATGTAGTTATTAGAATGAAGTGATACTGAACCAAAAGTCTCCACTTGAATCCAGTTAACTGAAAATACCCTTTGTAATAGTTAAACAGGTCATTCAGACTAGTTGCTGAGAACATTGTAGAACAGCTCTCTGCTGACCACTTGATCTGAATGTAACTGTACTACCATCTGATTAAAAGGCAAATTTGAAATATCCTTATAGTTGGACTCAGAGTACATTACTGCAAAACATTCAGAAACCGGAGAGATAATGAAGTTTTAAATTTCAAAGTTCTAAAGATGAAGACAAAACTCACATCACATCTCATAATTGAGGGTTATTATTAATAGGTAATACTAGTACCTTCGTGAAATGCTGGAAAAGTAAACTGAATAGCAGCAGGGATTTGGTAGGGACACAAAGTAAGGCATTTTCCTCTAAAACAAAAGAAGTAATTTCATAATAGTTATCTAAATACTACAAAATGGTAAACAAACAAACCCTTAACAAATAGCAACAACCATAACTTTCTATGTTTATGCAAGTGATTTTTAATCACCAGTATAAGGGACTTTCAGCTTTATTTCTAATAACGCCCCCTCTAATTGCTCCAGTTACTGGAGTGAATCTGGGCACTTCCATGATCAATTCACTCTCATAACAGCTTGTCACGATCCGGTATTCGGACACGTGGCAATTTTTCATAAAGGTGATCCCAACTGGTGAAATTAAGACGCAAACGAGGTCAGATGTCACATGCACAACAAACTTTTATTAGAGTAACAAAGCAAAGGTCCCTAGAGCGGATAGGACAGGCAGGAAAACAGAGACAAAAAAGAGGGGAGAAAGCAGAGAGATAGAGGACAGCAAGCGAGAGAGCATAGTTACCACCCACGGTGCAGCGATGTCGTCGGTGGGGAAGTGGTTCCTGGTGGAAAAGTACTTCTGATGCACCCATAGAGTCCCAGACTTTTATACAGTTCTTTCCCACTGCCCCCCCCCACTCTTCTTTCCGGAGTAAGGAAAAACTCCTATCTTCTCCGTGCTCCTCCGAGGTAACAGGGGGGGTAGGTATGGCGCCAGGTTAAGTCCTGCAGATAGTCTGAGATGTCTGCATAACAAAGGGAGGATAAGGCCACTGGCACCACAGGTTTAGCCTGCTCCCAGAGAAAGATGCAAATCTCTTTAGTCCGTCTGCAGATCTCAACAGATGTTGTTTCCCAGATGTCACAGGACACACATCTTGAGTGCCAGAGTCTGTCACTTATCTCTTGGATTGTTCGAGACAAACACTGTGAATTCTGAATACCACACACCTGGAGGAAAAAATTAGGATCATGTGACTCTACTGCATGCAGGACACACCTGAAGGCACTGGGATTCAATGCATGGCATATCACAGCTGCAGTAGTTTTAAGCTCACACAGAGTAACTTGATTAAAAATCCTGCTGAACTGAACTGTAGTTTATGAATAGTATTTTCTCCTAGATGCACCTACTACTAAAGGACTGCAATACATGCAAACATTCATTTCAATGAAAAAACCCCAAAACTTCTCATTTTCTTCAAATATACCATCAGGCTAATGCTCTTTAAAAGTGTGCACGTACTGAAAATAAGGATAGCCTGCTTTGTGCTTGTTTTGCATAAGAAGTTTTACAATGTTTCTTTATCAGTATACAAAGCACTTCAAGCTTTTCCTTCTTACTCTGGCTTTCTTGTTTATGTTGCTTGCAAATATTAAAAAAACCCAAAAGCTTCAGTAGCACTCTGCAGTTGCCACGTGCTTTCCTCCCCATCCTACTATGGACATCCCATACTACGACAGACCAGAATCAATATGCCACTGTGCTGAAGTACAGTATGTTTTCCCATTCCTCCAGATATGTTCTGTTAGGGTTAGTTTATCTTACTTTCCGTAACTATGTTACAGCAGCCTTCTCAACTGCCAGATGAACTTCATTCTGCCTGTCCAGAACAGCCATGAAACAGAGTGCTGAAGCTCCTTTTCACCCCTTGGTGATGATTCATCTTTCCAAGCATGGAAATTTCTTGTTTAGGTGCCTAAGTGTGCTGTATGTGCCTTTTTACTACTACTACTGTCAACATTAATACTACCCCAGTGCTGTTCTTACTAGGAATAAGAGAGAAAAGGAAGAAAAGAAGCCCAGGACAAGTCTATTTAAAATCATATGAGCAAGCTATGCTTACAAAGCCTTTGTTATTTCCCAACCCCCAGAAGGAAAGAAGATTTGAAGTGGGAAAATGTAGTCTAATGACTAGAAATATTTGTGTTTTCATAAAAATTTGATTCATGTAAAGTACCAATCTGAAAACACAATGTCAGTCCCTAGTGAATACCTGACCATTTTTCTAATTTGAAAAAAGTTAAAGAGTTGTTTCCCAGCTTTTCTCTTTCAGTTTATGATCTAAGATGTAAGATTTAAGATCTAAGATTCCAGATCTAAGATGGACTCAACAACCACAAGCATATCAACCAGCTTAATTCAGAGATAATTCAACTCATTAAAGTTCAGTTTTGTAGTAGGTCAGCAATTCCAGTTGGCTGTATGAGCTGGATTAAACTGGTGTATTTCTTTCATGCAATTTTCAGAATTAACCAAACACTGCTCATGTGAAGGCCCTTTGCTTCCACAGCCAGGAGACTACAGCAGCAACGAGCACTGGTGTTACAAACGTTATACTTACATCATTAGCAATAGATGCAAGTCATGCATAACACAACATGATTTTACTTCACTGTGGTTCATGGTACAGTTTTTCTCTATGTCATGGCCCATCTTGACCACCCAAGACACAGAGAAAATCTTAGGCAATCTAAAGAACCTACTATTTTCTATACCACCAGGTTGAATGCTGTAGGGGACAGAGTAAACTCAGGCCACTGCAAAGAAAATAATTAGGATGTAAGTGGAAACATACAGATAGGGTTAAATTTTTTTATTTTATTTTTTTAATACAGCTGATTTTTCTTACAAAAAACTGGTCCAGCTGCTCTCTGTGCTCCAGTTTTCTAAACATTTTATTATTTTTAAGGGGTTCTAGCAATACAGCACATATACAAGAGTTATCTTTTATCAACAAATGTCATATACCTAAAAATACAAAAATTCTTACAGTAAAACTTTATTGTGGCTAAATAGATAATATACATGCATGCATACACGTGTAATGGATTCAAGGTCTTCTTACAAAGTACTAATGCTATGGAGCTGGACTCAACACAAGCCTTGGCCCAGTTTTCAGAATTTACTACACCTGACTAAAACAGCAGGCAGCAATTGCCTGCAGGCTTCAGCTGGTGTCGAGTCAGAGGGGCTCTGACACCAGCTTCCATAGCAGTACCTCCTGGCAGCCAGGCAGGAAGGTGACTCTAGGAATTGCCAGCAAAACCTAGCTAGGGGGATCTTTGTGACCTCCCAGTGACACTATCACATTCCAGATTAAATTACTACTATTTCAAACAACTGTAGAATTACCAATCAGCTCCTGCCTCATGGAAGCAGAATCCAATCACTGAAATACAGGTTTGCTATAATGAAAGATCAGAGAAGGGAAAGAACAAAAACACCAAGCCCCAGCAA